AATGGTTAATGAACAATAAAGATAATTTAAAACAGTGTAAGGGAGGTAATCCAAATACAACGTTTTGGTTACTTCCCTTACACTGCTTTTAAATTATGTTTAAAGAAATGCATATTTATAAAGGAAGACTAGTAAAAATATCTGCAAATGTTGCATCATTTTTTTTTACAAAAAAATCCATATGAAAGATTTGACACTATATTTTTAATTCTATTATAAAATAGATTAAGTTAGCACTATGGTAAATTTAAATGGGTAATTATGGTTGCCAACTCCATTGGAAATTTGAATTGAGATTATGACCATATCTTGAGGGAAAGAATTTTTTGGGGGAAAAAAGGGGGGGGGATAAAAAGAAATTGTGGGGGGTCAATTTTTTCTCATTTCAGATTTCAGAAATTAAAAAGAATTATTCTTCAAATATTATTTTTTTTTCAAATTTCAAATATTGAAAAATTTCAAGAAGTAATCTTTAATTGCACAGTATGGCGCATTAGATTTGTAAAATCTTTGATCACATTTATTTATTTGTTATGCCGAATCTAACAGTGTATTTAGATTTTTAATTTTGGGTCCAGTTTTCAAAATAGTCTACATTAAGGTCCAAAGGGTCCAAAATTAAACTTTGTTTGATTTTAGCAAAAATTGAATATATGAGGTTCTTTGATATGCTGAATCTAAACATGTATTTAGATTTTTGATTTTTGGCCCATTTTTCAAGTTGGTCCAAATTGGGGTCCAAAATTAAACTTTGTTTGATTTCAACAAAAATTGAATATATGGGGTTCTTTGATATGCTGAATCTAACCATGTATTTAGATTTTTTATTTGTGGACCCCGTTATCAAATTGGTTCATATTGAGGTCAAAAGGGTCCAAAATTAAACTTTGATTGATTTCATCTAAAATTGAATTATTGGGGCTCTTTGATATTCCAAATCTAACCATGTATTTAGGTTTTTAATTTTGGGTCCTGTTTTTTAAATTGGTCTACATTAAGGTCCAAAGGGTCCAAAATTAAACTTAGTTTGATTTTAACAAAAATTGAATTCTTGGGGTTCTTTGATATGCTGAATCTAAACATGTGTTTAGATTTTTGATTATGGGCCCAGTTTTCAAGTTGGTCCAAGATAGGGTCCAGTATTTAAACTTTGTTTGATTTCAACAAAAATTGAATATATGGGGTTCTTTGATATGCTGAATCTAAACATGTATTTAGATTTTTGATTATAGGCCCAGTTTTCAAGTTGGTCCAAATTGGGGTCCAAAATTAAACTTTGTTTGATTTCAACAAAAATTGAATATATGAGGTTCTTTGATATGCTGAATCTAACCATGTATTTAGATTTTTTATTTGTAGGCCCCGCTATCAAATTGGTTCATATTGAGGTCAAAAGGGTCCAAAATTAAACTTTGTTTGATTTCATCAAAAATTGAATTATTGGGGTTCTTTGATATGCCAAATCTAACCGTGTTTTTATATGTTTAATTTGGGTCCTGTTTTTTAAATTGGTCTTCATTGAGGTCCAAAGGGTCCAAAATTGAACTTAGTTTGATTTTAACAAAAATTGAATTCTTGGGGTTCTTTGATATGCTGAATCTAAACATGTGTTTAGATTTTTGATTATGGGCCCAGTTTTCAAGTTGGTCCAAGTTGGGGTCCAAAATTAAACTTTTTTTGATTTCAACAAAAATTGAATATATGGGGTTCTTTGATATGCTGAATCTAACCATGAATTTAGATTTTTTATTTGTGGGCCCCGCTATCAAATTGGTTCATATTGAGGTCAAAAGGGTCCAAAATTAAACTTTGTTTGATTTCATCAAAAATTGAATTATTGGGGTTCTTTGATATTCCAAATCTAACCGTGTATTTAGATTTTTAATTTTAAGTCCCGTTTTTTAAATTGGTCTACATTAAGGTCCAAAGGGTCCAAAATTAAACTTAGTTTAATTTTAGCAAAAATTGAATTCTTGGGGTTCTTTGATATGCTGAATCTAAACATGTGTTTAGATTTTTGATTATGGGCCCAGTTTTCAAGTTTGTCCAAGTTGGGGTCCAAAATTAAACTTTGTTTGATTTTAACAAAAATTGAATATATGGGGTTCTTTTATATGCTGAATCTAACCATGTATTTTGATTTTGGACATTGGACCATAATAGGTAAATTAAAAAAATTCAAGTTCTTAGACCACATTCTTTCTGTGTCAGAAACCTATGCTGTGTCAAATATTTAATAACAATCCAAATTCAGAGCTGTATCAAGCTTGAATGTTGTGTCCATACTTGCCCCAACTGTTCAGGGTTCGACCTCTGCGGTCGTATCAAGCTGCGCCCCAGCGAAGCATTTTATTTTATATGACTTACTAATTTTTGAAATATTTGATAAACAAACAATCAGTTTGTATGGATTCCAGTATAGAAATGTATGTTCTATATGTTTATATTAATTCCATGGGCTATATGCTTTCGGAGACGTATACAAATACATATTGGGGCACCCGATCAAGTGGTGCAGTGCTTGTGTATTTAGACTATTATAGACTCTTGGTGAGTCAGGATTTTATAAGAAGAATGTGCTTCTTAATTATTCCAGTGTCTGATAAAATATGGGAGATTAAACTGAAATTGTTTCAGTGCGTGGATAGCTGGCCACAATGAGGGAACATTGAAATTTATATTGGCCTTTTTGCCGATAACTTTAAACGTAACTAAACCACATGGAATTAAATGTTGGGGAACACTTACTTGGACTACTTTACAGATTTGGAAAATCTACTGGACGACTTTTACCATATTTACCTCCCTGGAACCTTGGACAAGATGTGTATCTGGATTCTCCGCTCAAACTTTAAAATTGGATTCCCTACTCCGTGATGATGTCTCGTGATGTATTTGTGACTTTTGAACATTTAGTTAAAGACCGTTGAATATCTTGAACTATTTTTGAAATTATTTATTGACATTAACAGTAAATTGATTAATTTGTTGATAACTATGTGTGTCTGTATACGAAATTTGGTAAGTATACCTGACCGATCTTAGGACTAATGTGTGGGCACATTATGTCTTAAGAGAGGGGGAGTGTAATGGTGGTCACTTTGTTTACTTGTTATTTATTCTATTTATTTGGGGAAATTGGTTAATGTTAGTATTATTTATAGTTCCGTAACTCTTTCTTCCGAGACCGGCCATGTAATTATTCTTGTCGGGACTTCCTGCCTCTTGCACGTGCCTGACATCCGGCCCGGCCGGGCTCGTTGTCCCTAGGAACTATAAGTATGACGTCACTCACCGGGTTCAGGGCAGTCTACACTTAAGATTTGAAATGAGCAGACGCTCATACCGTTTGGCTTGCAAATTTATATAGAACTTTACAATGACAAGTAGACTAGCCACCACCGTATATTTTATTATTCTTGTATGTAACTTATATTCAACCATAACGTATGTCTCTTAATAAACATCATCTTTATGTTTACGTGGTTTTAGTTGTCCAATATCCCAGTACTTGGGTAGACAACGGGAAAACGAAGCCAGTGGAAACTCCACTCCCGTTACAGTATATTAATTTCACCAGTGCGCTTGGGCAGTAAGTTAGTGCGCTTGGGCAGTAAGTTAGTGCGCTAAAGCTTTTAAAAGTACCCTTGGGAATTTTTCTGTAATCAAAAATTCATTAACTACTCTTACTATCAGACAAAGATCAACAATATTAGGTAACCTGATTGGTTTTCTTTAGAGTTAGAATGATCTACTTCAAGGTTATGACCTGATCTACAAACTATTCCAGTTTTTGCATATTTTAAAAAAACTGTAAAAGTGTCAGGCTTATCAAGCAAAAGACAATTTCTGCATGTACATAGTTGTTTTTTCAATGGAATTGTTGTCTTTTTACCAATAAAAAAATCTTGCTTGTGGGAAAAATATCAAGAAAATGTTATAAACACTTATTAAAGTGATTACATTTTAACTTCTAAAATTTCTTGTTTCAGTGATTTTAAAAGTCTGTGTGAAAATTTTTAATATTTCACAGCCAAAATCACTCGAGGAAGTGATTCTGAAATCACTTGTTTAAGTAGTACCCCTGACTGATAAACATCGCCTCGAGAACAATTTAGCATGTGTTCTTGTTCCCAAGTACAACTGTACCACTTCATGCCCCAAAAAGGTCTGTTACCAGCATGTATTCATTCCCAAATGAAAATCTATATTAAGAGTTTTTTTAAAAACTCACCTTTCCAGTTATATTGCCTTTAAATAGGATAAACGGGAGTACTCTTTTGGCGATGGCATTCAGGAATTCTCAATGATTTTATTGTCCAGTTGTAAGAAGTTGAATTGTGATATCATATTTGGTAAACTTGAATGTTAAGCTTTAAACAAATTACAGGTTGAACACTACATAGAATTATTCTGTTAAATTTGTGAGAAAGCTGACTGATTAATAACGTATAAAAAATGGAACCATATTTAATTCACTTGTAAAATCAGTGTCATAATCATCATAATTGAGGTGGTATGGGAGTGTAAATTAAAAATGATAGAATTTGTTCATACTTTGCCAAAACTAAGCATATATTGTGGTGCATGTATGTTCAAAAAAAAAAAAAAAATGATAGGTCACCGAGCATTTTCTCAAGCTACAGGTTGTGACAAAATGACACATTTTGTATGGATTATACAGGAGAAAACATCATTATATGATTAGAAGCTAAACTAAATGATAGAACTGTAAAGGTGTAATACCACCAAATCATAGTACGTCACATCCGGTTGCATAAGAAAAAGGGTTGAAAAAAATATTCCCTTGAATTTGACAGTTGTAGGAAATTAATCCTACATTTCATTGCAGTAAAAAATTTCTAAGTCATAAACATATATCTTGGGTGTTTCAAAGCACCCTTATTTTTATACGACCGCAAACAAATTTTTGTGGTCATATATTGGTATGACGTTGGCGTCGTCGTCGTCCGAAGACACATTAGTTTTCACACTCTAACTTTAGTTTTAGTGAATGGATCTCAATGAAATTTTACCATAAGGTTCAATACCACAAAAGGAAGGTGGGGATTGATTTTGGGGGTTATGGTACCCACAGTTAAGGAATAAGGGGCCAAAAATAAGCGTTTTTGTAACTTCCAGACATAACTTGTGTGTAAGTGTATGGATCTCTCTGACATTGTCCCACATGTCCCACAAGGTTCCATATCACAAAGGGAAAGCTGGAATTGAGTTTTGGGGTAATTGCCCAGAAAGTTTAGGAATAAGGGGCCATAAAGGGGCCAAAAATAAACATTTTTCTAGTTTTCAAACAATAACTTGTGTTTAAATGTATGGATCTCTCTGAAATTGTACTGCAAGGTACCATACCACAAAGAGAAGGCTGGGATTGATTTTGGGGGTAATTCCCTCAAATTTTTAGTAATTAGGGGCCATAAAAGGGCAAAAAAACAAGCATTTTTCTAGTTTCAGGACAATAACTTGTGTGTAAGTGTATGGATCTTTATGAAATTGTACTGCAAGGTTCCATATCACAAAAGGGAAAGCTGGGTTTGAATTTGGGGGTAATTGCCCTAAACATTTAGGAATTTGGGGCCAAAAAGGGGCCAAAAAACAAGCATTTTTCTAGTTTCCAGACAATAACTTGTGTTCAAGTGTATGGATCTCTCTGAAATTGTACTGCAAGGTACCATACCACAAAGGGAAAGCTTGGATTGAGTTTGGGGGTGATGAATCATAAGGGGGTTCAAAAAATTGGGGGGGATTTTTTTTTCCTTTTTTTTCTTTAAAATTTTCCATTTTAAATTGGTTATTTCTGATTTATATATAAAAGCAAATAATAATGATATGGTTTGAATAGGTAAATTAAAAATATTTAAGTTCTTAGACCACTTTCAGTCTGTGTGAGAAACCTATGCTGTATCAAATATTTAATTACAATCCATATTCAGTGCTGTATCTAGCTTGAATGTTGTGTCCATACTTGCCCCAACTGTTCAGGGTTCGACCTCTGCGGTCGTATCAAGCTGTGCCCCAGCGGAGCATTTTTTTTTATTTGGTGTTTCTATAGAATATTTTGGAAACTTGAGGTTACATGCATGGTTACTAAAGCTTGTACACAGGAAAAAAAGGGGTGAAATTTGATTGGTTAACTTCCAGTGATAGTTCTTCTTCTTCTTCTGGTAAGTGGCCACCGTCAACTGGTTTACTATTCTGCCACATTTTGGAGTGAGCGCATGAAATTTACACAAAAATAGGTGCAATTTAACTTTATATACAGGTGTTATTTTCTTATATGCAATGAAATGTTATGTGAATTTATTTTGTCTATAGTACTGGACAGGATAAAACTTTACTCATGCCAAGTATTTCTTGATTTGAAACAAAGATAAATTCTGCACAATTTTTTGAAAAGTGCAAATTTAACAAAGACTAATAGGGGAAAATCAATGGTGGTATTGCACCTAAAATAAAATACGAGAAGATAGCTTTTAGACAATGCTTTGAGAATATCAAAAGAAAAGATAGGGTCACCATACGTTTTTTCTGGCTAAAATATAAAATAGCAAAATTTCATGTAGATTCCTTCAGAAAATGCAATATTTCAGAGATACCTCCCCTTAAAATGCCAATTTAAAAATTTTAAAATCAAGCAAAAAAAATCTACTCTTGTAAAAATATTAATATTTATAAGTTGAAATCTTATAACATGTATAAATTTATTCTTTTAAATGAAATCACATTAGTTATCTGCATTCCTCATCAATTTTGCTAATTTGATTGAAAATCTGGACCTTAGCTATAGGTTCTCTGTTATTTACAATCCAAGATGGCAAAAGACACCCATACTACCTTAATTATCAGTAATTTGGTTGAAACAATAAACACAATTGCATAACTCTTACCTGAGCATTTTCTGATATAAATTTATTGTATATTCACTATTATATAGCTATCCCTCATGAAAAAAAAATTCTGAATATTGTCTGAATTTGTCTGAAAATGTCTGAATTTTTTCTGAAATTGTCTTACATGATAAATGATGTCTGAATTTTTCTGAATCCCGATATTTCTATTCTGAATTGATGCTGACAATTCTGAATTTTTGCTGAATATTTCTGAATCAATAAGAATTTTATTCAGACAAATTCAGAACTTCTGAAAGTGTCTGAATTGTTCTGAAAGTGTCAGAATTATGTTCAAGAAGGTAAGACGAATTAAGAATCTGTCTGTATCAGTAAGAATATGATTCAGACAAATTCAGAACTTCTGAAAAATGTCTTAATTTTTCTTAATGTGTCAGAACTATGTTTAATAAATTGTTGACACAGAGATGACTAACCTTTTTGTTATGTTGACACTAAAATGTAAATGTTGAAATCAAAATAGTAATAGTTAAACAAAATATTCAAAGTATATGAACCATGACTGAAGCTACAGGGCCAAACAATCTCCATGGAAATGAAATGTGCCAATGCTAATACATATGCATACCAATTATCAATAGACCATGACAGATAGAGCAGGGTCAGATTATCTCCATGTAAATGAGATGTACCAATGCCAGTTAAACTGCATACCAAATAGCATTGACATATCATAATGCATTAACTGACCTTATCATAAACTAATACAGTTGTAAACTTAGCAAAAGTTTCAAAATCTATAGACCATGACTGAGGGGGTAGGGTCAAATAATCTCAATGGAAATGAGGATGTATTTATTATGCTAGTTCAACTAGTGGTTCCCCAAAAACTGACCTAATCACAAACTAATACATGAAGACTTAGCAAAAGTGTCAAAGTCAGTAGACCATGACAGAGGGTGCAGGGTCAAATAATTTCCATGGAAATGAGATGCACCAATGCTAGTTTAACTGCATACCAAATATCATTGACCTACCTCTAGAAGTTCCCCATAACCTGACCTTATCAAACTAATACATGTAAACTAAGCAAAAGTTTCTCAGTCACAAATTAACTTGTAATACGTTGTTCAAAGCCACTGCCGCCGCCGATGCCGGAAACAGCATATACCTATGTCTCGATTTTTGGTTTCTTCAAGGACAGACAAAACTGTAAGAATTATCTTTTCTGTATTCCCGTGTATAACGAAATTTTCAATGTGCAAAAATATCAAGTATAACAGAATAAAGTGGGTTTCATTGGGGTCTAAGCGTAACGCGGGATTGGCCGATTTGTTTTAAGCGCGACACGTGAAAGTCAAATAATTAACGGCGTGAAAACGGGAAATTACATGCGCTATTATGGCAACGAGAAGCGGGATACGGGATTCTCACTAAACAATAAGCCGGATCCGGGATCAGACTCCCCCCCCGAATGAGACCCCCAATAAAAGGAATACCATTTTGTAAATGAAACAAAGAGAAATGTCGTTCTTAGCAATTATATCAGTTGATTGCAAACATGTTGCTCCGTGAAATAGGACCCCATTGATATATTCGAAATTCCTAAGAAGTGACCCATTTTAGGTACAGAGGTGTTGCTGGTATTACAAACCCCATTCATCTTCATTCATTTATTTCTTAGTTATCACCAGGAACATAGTTCCCAGATTATCACATATATACAATTTGGATCTGATCTAATTGAAAGATACCCGTTGAAAGCGGTACAGTATATATGGAGAGCCGAAGACCCCCATTATTTTGATACTCTTTCGAGGTCAAAACAGATGACGTACTCAAACGAAAGAATAGCTTAACGATGTAAAATGTTTTCAGACAATTACAGACAAGAGGAAAAAAGAAAATATGGAATATTCGTTGACGAGTGTTAATAAAAATTAAATACTGATGTCTGGAATGTTTTTTATATTAAAAAAAAAAGGTAAATGGTTTCTATGAAACCATGTGTCTCGCACTTTTGCTACTGTCAGAATAAAAGTGCATTGTTGTTTGTCAAAAACATACGTCCACTTCGGGAGTTACCATTTGATTTTTAGGGGTGGGGGTGGGGGTTAAGATGAAAAATGTTGTCCTGCATTTTATTTAGTTGTAATCTCTGTCCTGCCTTCTTTTTTTCGCTCTAATCAGTCCTGCCATTTTTTATCCTGACTTTTTTATATAAATTTTCATCCTGCCTTTTTTTTGCCAAGTTGCTCATCGTGTCTTTTTTTACTCAAAACTCTTTTTTTTTTCAAATTCCATCCTACCCCCCCCCCCCCCCTTCCCCCCTAAACATCAAATGGTAGCTCCTTTATTAGTAAAATTACAGGAATTTTTTTTCTACTACTATTTCTAGATCTTGAGATAAAAGTGTAAGCCAAGTGATAACATTCTAATATCGTTATTTCTTTTTTTAAAGAAAATGAAAATTTCGGCACTACTTTCATCAGCAATGTTTTGTTTTCAATAAATTCAACAAATATAAAAGTTTGGGTGAATAACAAACAGTTTTCATCAGATTCAGATCGCCCTTATTCATTGTTTTTTTTCACCGACAAGTTTGAAAATTCCAAAAAAGATTAAATCATTGATCTACTGAGTAAAAGTCAATTCCGTTTTTAAAAGGTAATATTTATTGCAGAAATTATGCAATCAACTAACTTGACATCGCTTACAAAAATTTCGTTTTTTAAACGATTTGTTTATTGCATAAATTATACAACCAACTACTTGAGCATTGGAACTTGACATCGCTTACAAAATAGAAATGTTAAACATAACTGACATCGAAATACAAAAGCGTGTCGACTGCACGAGGTAACATTGGTGGGAAATTTAGATATCGGGTTAAATGTTTACTTGATTGACAGGAATCAATTATCGTTGAGGCTCCAGTAGGGAAAATATGATGAAGTTGCCATTATTATAAAGTGGATTATATACGATCAGTTCAAACAGGGACAGCCTATACTAACGATTTGGTACCCAACCAGATTTTATGTTCGGACTCCAGGACGTTTTTCTCACAAGGACTCGGTTAGCAGGTTAATTGTGTTTATGATAAATGCCTAAAAAAAACCCGTTTTTCCTGTCCAATTGTATAACTTCCTACGTAAATACGACTGTGGTAAATACCTGGGACTATTACAATAACAGTTAGTATAATAGTCCCAGTAAATACATTATAAACGTATTTAACGTCGGTTAATTAACTTTCCATATTAGATTCAGAAATAAGGTACGAATTTCCTTGTATGATTTATTTACTCTGCCTACGATTTAATAGAACTTATCGGTGAGCGTAACAGACTATAATCCGGAAAATGATCCGGAGTCGGTTTTCATGTTAAAACACTGCTGAGATCTAGAACTTGTGACGCAGACGACGAAAGAACGCTGCAGAACAGATAAACAAGAACCTTTGTATATATAAAACAGCTTCATAATCATAGGAAAAGATGACGTCTGCCATTCAGAAGATGGTTTTCAACTTGCCCAGAAAATTGACTTAACAACTTGTGAACTGTCAGTGTCAATCCAACCGCACATACAACTAATGCATGAATGAACTATCCACCACAGGCTAAGAACAATGTCTCCAAACGGGTATGATGAGTCCATTGACAATTTTTTGATTTGGAAACGGCCATTTAATATTGTGGGTGGGAGCAGGGGATTTGGAAAATGAATAATCTTGCCTTGCCCTTAAAGATATCAGAATGAAAAATTATTTTACCCACCAAAATAAAGGATATTTAAGACTTTATGTGTGAAAATATTTTTTTTGACAACAAAAAAATAAAACAATCGGGAATCACAAAATAAATATTCCAAAATTCATCCTGCCTCCCCCTGTAACAGAATATTGAATGGTTGTACCCTTATACAGTCAGATTATACCATATTTATTCAATGCAAAATTCAAAACAACATGTAATATGATATGGGTAAACATAGTCCCAATCATTATGAGGTCTTTTAGTTTTAAGGCTTATGTTTAGT